ATTTTAAATAGGGTACACTCTAATGGTCGAGCAAGAAATTCGAAGCTCGCTTCAATGGAGGAGGGGCGAGAGAACTTGTGTATGCTTCAATAGTGAAGAACCCTAGGAGAGAGAAAAAATTGGGGAAGAGGATGAAACTTGTGTACGACATAGGAGAGAAAGAGAATTGGGCTTTTTTTTTTTTTTATGAATATTAGAATTTGAAATGACAGGTTTAAGATTGGAATTTCAATATATTAAAAAATACTCATGTCATTATAATCTTGGATTTGGGCCAATTTCAATTCCCAAATTCTAAGCATATCCAAATAACATAATTAGGCCAAATATTTGATGAAATTCTGGTTACCAAACATGCCATTAACTTATATTTAAATAAGCTTCATTAAAAACAATTTTATTTTGGAAAAATTGATTCTAATAATCCCACCTTTAGCCGGTTTGCCATTAATAATCCCACCTTTTGATTATTATCTAATAATCCCACCTTTATATGAGATTCTCTTTTAATGGTCCTTGTGACTGATTACCTGCACTATAGGTAAATTTTTTAAAATTTTAATTTAATTGACACGTGTTATACATGATTGGTCAAAAAATTTTAAAAAAAATTAAAAAAAGTTACAAAAAAAAATAAAAATACACAGCAACCTCAACCCTACGCCACCCAATCCCAACTTCCGACAGCCGTCCTTTCCCACCACCGCCATCCTCCGGCAGCCCCTTCCCCACCCTCACCACCACCGGAATCTTCCCCTCTCCACGACCCACCCAACGACAACACCCCACTCCCCGGAATCCACTACGACACCCTAAACCTAGCCCCGAAAACCACCCCATCCGACCATCCGACCATCACAACCGCGACCAACCCGGACTGCCCACCTCCTCTGCCCCTCAATTGTAACTACAGCAGTAACAACACCCAATTCTCGCACCCCTACCTCACAGGCCGCAATTGAACCACCACTGGACCGCCATAACAATTAGCAGCAGCCCTCAACCGCCGCACAAATAAACACTAAGCAGCCCCAATTTCAGCCAATTTCGGCTCAAATTGAAGAACCCATGGCAGCAATTCAGTAGAGCAATCCCAGTTTCGATTCAATCTCAATTATTTTTAGGAATTGAGTTGTAGTAGGGATGTGGGTTCAAATGGAGGAGAGAAAAAGGTGGTCATTGTTGGGTTAATTAATTTTCTGTGGATGGTGGCATGGGGTGGTATTTGGAGGTGATTTTTGAAAGTGGGAGGTAGCCACATAGTGGCAGAGATGGACAGGGAGGTGCGAGTAATAATGGTAAAAGGTGGTGTTCGAGGGTTGATGGTAGTAGCTACACGGCAGCAACGGGGGTAGCTTCATGGTGGCACGGTGGAGAAAGGGAAGAAAGATAATGGCAGTAAAGAGGGAGGAGAGAGATGAGTTTAGTTTGTTTTTTTAGAAAAATTAATTAAAAAATCACAAACCAATTAAATAGTGACACATGTCACTTTTTAACTTGCTAAACTGGTTAATAACCGGTTATGGACCAATGGAAGAAAATCACCTATAAAGATGAGATTATTAGATAATAATCAAAAGGTGGGATTATTAATGGCGAACCGGCCAAAGGTGGGATTATTAGAATAAATTTTTCCTTTTATTTTCTTACTAAACATAAGTTAAATTAGACCTTGTTTTTTTCATGTCATTTTTGCTAAAATTAAATTAACTTTACTTAGTATAGCTTAAGTGAAAGCATGAAACATCCTAATTAATTGAATTATGTATGTGACAGTAATCAATAGCTTTTTCCCGTGAATGATTAATATATATATGAATGTTGAATATTATCAGTAATTAAGCCATGTGTTTAATGTTTGGTTTTGCGTTGTTCAATTTCTTAATAAAACGTTGTGAGAAGATTAAAATTAAAAAGCATCAAGTTCAGGGTAATATATAGTTTAATTATTGCCGACATAATGATAAAATAGTAGTAAAAGAAGAAGCAAGTAAGATAGCTAATGACAATATTAACAACCATAGAAGTATATCACTGGTCAACTTGTAACTGTGTTCATACAGCAAGCTGCTGATTTGAAACACAACAAAACTTGGATATTCTCCTTTCTCTTATTATCGATTAAAATAATTGTATATATTCTTCTTCAAGGAATTATATTTTTGATTTCTTAAGTCTAGCTCTTGATGAATGAGATTCTAATCAAGTAATCAGATAACAAATTTGAAAACTTTTCTACGATCATTCATGACACCATCATTATTTATTTATTATTATTTGTACTGGCATGATTAATTAGAGACAATCAATTCAATGCATCAACGCATCTTTGTCTTTGTACTAATTGATTTTATATACAACGGAGTACTACTGATCAGAATAAATTATATTATAACTAGGAATTTTTATGCGCGCAATATGGCTAATCCTTTGAGCAGAATTATTATTGGTGGCCTTTATACCTTATGCATATTTGCCTGATATTTTATTATATCTATTTACATTTCCCTATTATACAAGTCATGATACAATTATATACTCCATAATCTATGTATTCCATATATATTAAAATTAATTTAAAATACTTTGTATTGATAGTGTTTATATTCCAAATAGAAAAAAACAAAAAAATAAAATAAAATGGAGAGTCTAAAAGATGCTTTAAATATTGAAATAAACACAAATAAATAATCTATTTAAGGGATTCAAGAGACAATTTTATAGCTTTTGAATTTAATGGAGGCAAATTTGTAAAAAAATTCATTTTTAGGGATCTAATTGTCCATGCACTATTCATAAGAGCGTTCTTAAAATTTTAATAAGGTAGGGATGTAATATGTTAACAAATTTGTCTTGATACAACATATTTCGTATATCTTTAAATTATAAAAAACAGCGAGTCTTGTGTGTGACTGGCCACACCAAATTGATGCTTGTAAAAGAACAAAATAACCCCTATAACACTAACCGAGTAACCACCATGTAATATTGAGCGAGTAATCCCTAAAACACTAACGAAGTAACCCCTGTAACGTTGACCGAATAACCCCTATAACACTAACGAAGTAACCCCCATGATGGCTAACCACATGGTGTGGCCAGCCACATATAAGAATTATGTATTAAGAATATTAGTAGTCCCGGTAAAAAAAAAAAAAAAAAAAAAAAAAAAGGGAATATTTGTGGTCAAATTTGTAAAAATTCTACGAAAAAATGACTACCATTATACTAATTTTTTATTAGGTGATTTTTTATTTATTTATGTTAAATTAATTAAAAAAAAATTTCTCATTTTTTATATCTAATTTTTAATTTTTTTTTATGTTTTCATAATTAATTTATGAGTTATTTGTTAAAATCTGTAATAATAAAAATTGAATTTTTTAAATTAATTAGAAAAAAAAATCAAATTTTTTTCAAAATCAATAAATGAGTTTTAAAAATTAGATATATGATTTATAATTAATTTTGACATTAAAAAATAAATTAAAATCAACTAATAAAAAATTAGTATAATGAGGATGACTATCATAGAATCATCTCGGAGTAAAACGGAGACTAAAAGTTTTGATTTGATCTGATTTAGATTTTGAGTAATATAAATACAATAAGTATAAGAAATAGGTTGATGTGAAGAAGTTATAAAGTTTAAAAAAAAAATATCTAGAAGAAAAAGGTAGTAAAAGGGAAAAGGAAACTAGGAAAGAGTAAAAAAGAGACGCGACAAGGAAAGCAACGGGTCAAAGATAGATATCTAAGTAATGGAGTTTTGATACATCCAACCATTTCTTTAACTTTAAAATTTTCAAATGAGGTCCTTATATACATACATACCATAAATCCTCTCTTGCCTCTCTATAGTAGTATAATAATGTTAGGATTAGGACGAGGAGGTGTTGCTTGACCTTGACTTTATATATCCCCTTTTCATCTACCAACATGTACCACTTCTCTTACTTATTATTATAATTATAATAGTAAAAAAGGTGCTATTTATGAAATATACAAAATTCCTTTGTTGTAATTAAAAAAAAACGGAGGTAATATTATTCAATACACAATTAATCTTAACCATTTAATGACATACTTCCTCCATTTCTTTATAGTTGCAACACACACTTTATTACGCTATTTAACAAAAGTGGACTTCACATGATATAATACACTTATAATAGGGTTAAGGGGTTAATAAGAGTATAATAATAAATAAATAAAAAAAAAAGTATAATCAAGTGGGCTATGAACTTTAAATAAAGGTAACAGTACAATTTTCTCCATAAAAACCTTCCTTTTATAGTGTGTTGCAACTATTGTGACATTTTCTTTTTAAGGAAGGGTTGCAACTATAAAGAAATGGAAAAAGTATTTGTTAATGCAAAACTCATCTAATTTCAAATTAGTAAAAATTATTTGAAGTTGATATATTAAAATAGAATACACACTGAGATAAATTTACTACATTTTAAATACTAAAAATCTAATAAATGTTATTTTCTTATATATAGTAGTAAAAATTTATAGTTATAATAGAATATGTGAATAGTTAAAATATCTACTCGTAACATGTTTTAATCTAATTTGAAACAGAGAGAGTAGAACCTTTTCTATACACCTGGATGTACATAGGGGTAGATGCACCTAATTATGATTTTTTGCTCATTAAATTTTTTTTTGGTTAATTATAGAGTTTTAAAGTAGGCAAAAGAATATTACATGAATAGAAATAACTCTTTAATATACATTTTACACTAAGGTATAGATAAAAAAATTCACACATAAAATACTCCAACACAAAATTTTATATTTGACTGGCCATTATGGGGGTTATTTCGTAACTATTATAGAAGTTATCGGTCGGTGTTCAGGAGTTACTTTGTTAGTATTATAAGGGTTGCTCGACCAGTATTGCAGGAAATACTTGATTAGTGTTTTAGGGGTTACTTTACTCTTTTGCAAGTGGACACACGGTGTGACTAGCTGCACACAACACCATTGCTCCATAATAGCATTGAAAAAATATTTGAAAAAGCGGATATACAAAGTGATAGGGCATGTCCCATTGGAGCCGACCCTTAACTGTTTGACCAATTGACCCTTCCACATTGGATAAGAGACAAAACAAAAATAAAAAAATCACCGGTGTTGCACGCGAGAAATCCACGCAATCTCCTAAAATAAAAATTAAAAAAACAAAAATGCCAGCTTAAAACTTATAAGCAGTGACATCTACCTTTTCTTTCAGTTGCTTCTTCCAAGCTTCCTCCCGGCCGCAAGTGTGTCAATTGGGCTGCCTCCCTTATCTTTAGTTTGTTGCTATAAATACTCTTTATTCTTCTGGTTCTTTTCATTTGACTAACTCTCTTCTTTCTACCACATACCACCCACTTCTCTCTTATATATTAATTGTATCTGGACCTCTTCTTTCTTCCCTTCTTACAACTTTTATTTCATTCAAGCTTCGTTGATTGTTTGGTTTATCAAGAAAACGAAGTTATGGAGTATTCGTCATCAACATGGTTCAGCACCCCTTCTTTGGATCTCACTAATGCTAATACCCTTCGCCTTTTCGACGATGCCCCCGTTAGAGATCATCCCAACATCGTCAAGCCTGCCTCGTCTCCTCCTCCTCCTCCTACCACTACCTCCAATCAATTTACTACCAATCTTTGGCCCAAGCAAGAGGTTCGTCTTTCATCTTGGTACTACCATCTACTGTGATTATTATTGTTTTACAGTTTGAGAAAATAAATAATTAATTAAGTTTGTATGTGTCTGGTGGTTGCAGCAAACAGAAGAATTAGTAGAGGAATTGAATAGGGTGAATGCAGAGAACAAGAGGCTATCAGAAATGCTAACAGTCGTGTGTGAAAACTACAATGATTTGAAGAGGCAGTTGGTTGATTACATGAGCAAGACTTCCAATTCAAGTAACGATATCAACAACAATAATGTCAACAAGAAAAGGAAACTAGACAGCACCAATATTGTTAAAAATACTAACAACAACAACAATATCGTTGAGAGCAGCTCTAGTGACGAAGAAGATTCCTACGAAAAGCCCAAAGAAGAAACTATTAAGGCTAAGATCACAAGGGTCGCTGTTCGAACCGAAGCTTCTGATTCAACCCTTGTAAGTTATTTAGCTTTTAACGCGCAAATAATAGCTGTCGTGTATGCAACATATATAACATATGTACGAGTATGTCAATTAACTTTATTTGTTTAATTATCGCGTGCAGATCCTTAAGGACGGCTATCAATGGAGAAAGTATGGACAAAAAGTGACTAGAGATAACCCTTGTCCTAGAGCTTACTTCAAGTGCTCATTTGCTCCTACTTGTCCCGTTAAGAAGAAGGTAATAATTTCATCATCCTATTGTCTTAAGATTAACACTACTACAATCGCTCCTTTTAGCAATCAATCAATTATATTTACAAAAAAAAAAAAAAAAAAAAAAAAAAAAAAAAAAAAAAAACCCTTTATTTTCGCAATACAATTTATCTTCTAAATTAATTAGATTAGTTTCCTTGGCTTGCATGAAACTTGAATTAATAACTTCCTAGTTCCTCCATACATTGATCACGAGATTATTGCCAACATTCCTAACAATTTTGACTTACATAAGGGACATTTTATTAGTTAATGAAGGCATACCCTACAATTACATTTTTTTCAATCGGTTGGTTGCCTAATTATTGAACCAAATGCAATGACTCAATTCAATTCAAGTAGTAGTGTACATTATCTCGTTATTCTCATCTAGAAAGATTTTTTTTTTTTTTTTAGGCTATTGAAATCAATTAATAATTATTATTAGTATTAATAAATCTTCTTCAAAATGTTCAGGTTCAAAGAAGTCTTGAAGACCAGTCAATGCTAGTGGCAACCTATGAAGGAGAACACAACCATCCAGCCCCAGCACAACAAGAGGGTGCTGCACCATCGGCCTCCAGCCGGTCCATCGCCCTTGGCTCTGTCCCATGCAATGCCTCATCAGTTCCCACCGTCACTCTTGACCTAGCCAAGTCCAAGTCCAACGCTAACGAAACGACAACTGCCACCACCAACAGCAGCAACAACAACAACAGCAACAAGGTGTTGAATAGCACACCGTTGTCTAATAACCAGCTGCCCAAGTTTAGTTCACCAGAATTCCAAAAACTATTGGCTGAGCAAATGGCCTCTTCCTTGACTAAAGATCCAAACTTCACAGCAGCCCTTGCAGCTGCTATTACCGGCCGATTCGTCCAGCAAACTTCAAGTGATTAAGACTTTAATTACATATATACATAAATGTATTTAATCATTTTTTAGGGGAGAAAAATTCGATTATTAGGAGTTGCGTTTGTTAGGAAAGAATTTGCACGTACAATTTCAAGTTCATCAGAAATGCCTTTGAAGGCCGGTGTAGGAAATTTGTTTAGGCAATTGTACAGATTGATCACACTTATTATTATTATTCCAGTGTTGAATTTCAGAATATTAATTTTAGTTATCATAAATATTTTTTTGAATCGTACGTGTTTGCAAAGTTAAGCTAATTACGCAGATATATATAACGTACGTGCTCTTAAATTTTACACGAAACAAGTTTTGATGGATTGAAGATTTCCTTCTAAATATACATTACTAATAAATGTATATATATATATATATATATATATATATATATATATATATATATATATATATATATATATATATATATTTATATATATATAAAGTGATTCTATTGCCTAGGAGCTTCGTAAATTTTAGGCTTAGACATACAACTAGCCCTATAAATTATGTCAAGGGAAAAATTGAACCTGAAGGTTGGAAACAATCTAGAGGAAAACGTCAAGCAAGTACCTCTAGCTAGATAAACAAGTATCAATTTTAAATTTAGTCAAGAGGTAGCTGAGAATTGAATTCTATCTCTAGTATAGGATGGACAGAGTTCTACTTGTTTCTCTTTTGAGTTGTTCAGCCAACCCAATGCTTGAGAGTAAGCAGCGAGGTAATTATGGTAGTTCCCTCGTCACAAAAGTAAACGTCAATAGTGGGCTCGATTTTGTGACATCAAAGATACTACATGAGTATGTTTTTCCATTTTGTATTAGAGCAACAAAAAGCAAACCATATAGATGTAATACGAGTTTTAAATACCACCCTTATGACTAATAAAGTTAGATAGTGCTAGATCCTGGTAATTACTCAACAAGAGTATATCTTCAATTTATTATATGATGGAATCCTAGCTAATTAATGCTTTTTTAATATTTGTCACCACCCTATATTATCAAAAAGACACCAATTTGATATTTTTGGACCCTAAATGTGCTTCCTCTTATTCTATATATATCTCTTAAAACATTAAAAAAAAAAAAAAAAAAAAAAAAAAGAATGAAAGATGATATTCCAATGTGCTAAGGGTCTTAGTATATCATCCGATCCTTTATTGACATGACAACGATATGATGAGCCCCACGAAGCATATATAATCTATACACTCATGGTAACAAATTAGACCTTGTTTACCAAAAAAAAAAAAAAAAAAAAAAGGGGTTAAAGATTATTTGAGTACAGTGATACGTAGCAGTCAAGATGTTTGATGATGTCGCACGACTTTCTAAACATGGCAATGCTAATTGCTTAAGTTATGCCCACAATTAAGAGTTAAGACCCCTTTTGATGACTTTCTTTTTTTGATAAATCTAACCTCAAATCGGTGAACCTGCTCTCTGGTATTACTGACGTATACAATTTTATCTATTATAATCCTTACCACTTGTACGTTATCACCTCATCAAGTGTACTTTAAGATCATAATCTAATGTATTCAGTATTTGGGATAGAAGAAGAGATTAACTAGCTACCTCCAAGCCTAATGATCGAGCTACCACTATCAAATACTGTTTATAGGATATAAGTTTGTTCGACTTTTATGCATGTAGTGAGATTCTCATTTTAAAATAAACGATCTAATAAAATAAGCATATGAAAGATTTATCAAGAGCTCTAGAAAAAAAATGATAAACCAATTATAAATATATTATTATTGGTAGCTAAATTGTGAATAGTAGTTACTTATTACAAATTAAACGACTATTTTTTTTTTAGTAAAACTGTTCATTTTAATTTTAATTTGGGTGGTTCAATTACGTTACATATCTACAAATCCTTTTTAAATCTTTTTATGGCCGTACAAAGTTAATAAATCAAATTGAATAATAAGCTTAATTAAAAATGGGATAATTTTAGTGAAACAAAAAATATTACACGTAAAAGGAAGGATGGGAGGAAGTTAATGTGAGATAGATCCAAAAAGAGAGCATAGGAGGAGTAGACGAGGAGTTTCTAATTTTGTAGTGGAATAATTGTGGAAGTAGGCCAAATGTCCTCTGCTCCTCCGTAAACGTGTGCGGTAGAGATATGTTGTTTAGGTCCAATGGTTTTTTTTTTTTTTCATCTACTTACAAATGTGAGTTAGATTTGTATTTGTCTACTTGACTACTTCAAGATTAAATGCACGAAGACATTGTCGCGACTCACGACTCACGACTCACGACCCACGAATTTGGTTTCATGTCAAACACATAAATCATTAACAAGTACTCCGTATATAGGTAGAGTATATATATATATATATATATATATATATATATATATATATATATATATATATATATATATATATATATTTAAAGGTAATAAAAGGAAAATACTAGTAAACCCGCCCTCCTTAGAAGAGGAAGCTCTAATGCAATTTTATACATACTCCGTACTTGGTATATCTATATGATTATACATAAAAAAAATTGGGAAAAAAATTTGGTAATAAAAATGACAAAAACACCCATTCAATTCCAAGGCTGATAACACATAAATACCAAATATGTAAGGAAAAATGAAAAGTAAACCTTAGTGAAGTTAGATAGAGGCCATCTTCCTCTCCTTTTACCTCCAAATCTTTATTTGTGATAAAAAACTAGCTAGGTGAGTTTGCTTGACCTTCAGTCCACCCACATTGTTGAAATGTCCAACCCAATCCATATATATAATTCCCAAAAATAACTGATATGTCCAATAATTGATATCTAAATTTTTAAAGTTAAAATGTTCAAAACCGTATGTGAAATGTTTAATAACTTATATCCGTCTCACTATAAATAATCTAGAGTTATACAATACTTTGTCATTCACTTTTCATGTCATTCAAGTTGTAATAAGACTACATCAATATATGAATAAAACTTCTCGTAGCAGAAGTAGCCAGGAAGAGTTGTATGTGAGACTGTGAGAGAATTCACCCAAGAAACTGTTTGGCATGAATAAAATTAGAGGCACAATCATAAAATTAAAGAACGACTTCAAATTTATGGTCAAGACATTAATTAAAGATGAATATATATATTAAGGGAATATGTAAAAGATGGCAATAGTATTCCATTTCAATTAACTATAGTATGATTTTATATTAGATTGATTGATTTGGTTTATTTGCACCGACCAGCATTGCAATTCACGTTATTAAATTTGGGAAAACAACACATGTGCTTTTAGAAATAAAATTCAAGAGCTCGTTGTCAAAATTATTAAAAAAAAAATAAAATAAAAACAAGAGCTCTTAAACACGTGCTCTTGACAAACAAAATTATGTCCTGAAAGGTTGAGCATATAGTTTAAGACTAAAAACCCAACAGCTGATTATTCAATTGATTTGGACCAAATGTATTTAATCAAGGCTCCACATGTTTACTTTTCAATAAGAAAATAAAATTGATTAATGTGTTTAATTAGTGAATCTTAAGGCTAGTTAATATAGTGAGTAAACCAACACTAACAACCCTTGACGATTTTATAAACTATTCTTCATTTTTTTTTGTAAACAATCTAATTTATGTTAATATTTCTTGATAGTCGGATGTATTACTTATTTTTACATGAAAAAAACAAATTAAAGCAATAAGCTAGAGCACACAAAAGACAAGTCATTTTAAGATATGATAACGAGTGGTGGCTCAAGGTCATAAATAAGGTGGTTCCGAACACCATAGGCGGTTTTGAGCCGGAGCAAGGTGGGCGACGGAGCAGGGCCCCCAAATTTGAGGGCCCCAAAATTTATATATATATGTAATTAAGTTTGAAATAATAACATAAAATTATAGATGGACTAGTGCTTTGAGTTAATTTGCTTCTTATGTATGAGAGATCTCAGGTTCAAGCCTTGGGTCCAACAATTTTTTAACTTTTTGGGAAATAAAGTGAAAGCTGGCATTGAGTAAGGTTGAGCTTTGAGCGTCCAAACATTGAATGAAGTTATTACTTTGTCTCTAGAATTCTCCACCCAAACCCAAAATTAGATCTTTCCTTTTTCCAAATAATTTTTTCTCTCAAAATTTTTTCAATTTATTATTTTAATTCCCAAAAAAACTCTATATCTTCCAAAATTAATTTCACATTTAACTAATAAAACTTATTGTTTAATTTTGACAAATTTTCTAATGTAATGAATTTTTTTAACAAAAAAATTGGGTATTTAATTTATTGAGTAGAGGGGCCCATTTTGAGAAGTTGAACAGGCCCCATAAATAATTTGCAATTGTAGCCCCGGCACTGCCGAACACCAAGGAGGCCTCTCGAGGTAATTTGGTAAGTCCGTCAACATGAGTCCACCCAACCAAAAACTAATGTATACATTCAATATGCCGTATGAAATTTTCAAATACTTATACGGAGTATGAAATGTATCAAAAACTTATATTTAAATTTCAAAAATCAATATGTTCAAAAACTTATATGAATGTCTATTAATTTATATTTGTCTCACTATTGGACTCATACGATACTTCTATAACCATACCACTACCGGTAAGGATTGGACAATCAATAACCAAAAGCAATGTTATATTTGAACATGTTTTTACTTATGTTATTAAAAGCATAATGATGAAGTTAAAGATAAGATAATTATATTGAATCCGCTTGCCTTAAAAAAAAAAATGAAGTTAAAGATAAAGTATACAAGTATAAAAATGGAACAAGTGGCACAAATAGCCATCTGTTAAAAGAAACTTTAATGATAGAGAAATTTTGAGTGAAGAGAAGGTAAAGATAGAATCAGTGAAAATGCCGTAATATTTACTACTACATCAAGTCTCAATTTATAGAAAAAAAATTTACAATAAAATATTAGACATTATTGTACTTTTGAGCATATAATTGATCTAAATACCACATGTGAACTTTCACATTTGCATTTTTTTTCTCAACACTCCCCCTTGAATGTTCACATGAAATGGGGTGTGAGTTGCCTTATTAAAACCCTTGCTAGGTAAAAACCCTATGGGATAAAAACCATAGCTAGGGAAAAGGAGTACAACGATATTATTGTATTATATACTTTGGTATACTGCCTCGTTAAAAACCTTGTCAGGAAAAACCCAGTAGGATAAAAACCTGATCGAAGGGAAAAAGAGTGCAGTGCATATAATACTCCCCCTGATTTCAGCATAGTTCACGAAGATGTCGCATTCCAATTTTGTAAACTAATTGCTCGAATTTCTTGGAAGGAAGTGATTTGGTGAACAAGTCGGCAAGGTTGTCACAAGACTGAATTTGCTGGATATCTATTTCCCCATCCTTTTGCAGATCATGTGTGAAGAATAGTTTTGGGGATATATGTTATGTTCTATCTCCCTTAATATATCCTTCATTTACTTGAGAGATGCATGTTGTATTGTCTTCAAAGATGGTGGTTGGTTTTTCTGTTATTGCTTTCATTCCACACTCTTCTTGGATATTACTAATCATCGACCTCAGCCATACACATTCTCGTCATGCTTCATAAAGGGCTATTACCTCTGCATGATTTGAGGATGTCGCAATCAATGTCTGCTTTGTTGACTTCCATGATATTGCAGTGCCGCAATAAGTGAACAGATATCCATTTTGTGACTTGGCATTTTGAGGATCTGATAAATATCCAGCGTCGGCATACCCAATGAGGGCAGCATCTTGTTTCGGTTGATAATATAAACCAAGGTCTTGTGTTCCTTGCTTCCAATGCCTATATGTTGGTATATTGTTGTGCCTGGCTAACAAGTTCACAGAGAAAGGTACGTCGGGTCTAGTGTTGTTAGCTAAGTACATTAAAGCTCCAATTGCACTTAAGTATGGTATTTCTGGACCCAGAATTTTTTCATTTTCTTCTCGTGGTGTGAATGGATGGTTTTTCATACTCAAAGAATGAACAACCATTAGGAAGTTGATTAGAGTTGCTTTGTCCATGAAGAATCTTTTCAAAACTCTTTCTGTATAGTTTGATTGATGGACAAAAATACCATGACTCAAGTGCTCGATTTGCAATCCAAGGCAAAATTTAGTTTTTCCAAGGTCTTTCATCTCAAATTCTTCCATCAAGTATTTTGCAGTTTTCTCAAGTTCATTTGGGGTTCCGATGATATTCAAATCATCAACATAAACTGCAATAATAGCAAATTGTTATCGCTTTATGAAAACACAGGGACTAATTTGGTTGTTCTTGAACCCTTCTCTCACAAGGTATTCACTGAGACGGTTATACCACATCCTTTGAGATTGTTTCAATCCATAAAGTGACCTTTTTAGTTTTATGGAAAGTAATTGTCTAGGCTTGTGGTTTTCTGGTAGTTTTAGTCCTTCGAGGAATTTCATGTAAATGTCTGTATCGAGTGACCCATACAAATACGTAGTCACTACATCCATTAACCGCATTTGCAGTCCTTTTGCGACTGTCAAACTTACCAGAAATCTTAATGTAGTTGCATCAACTACTGGAGAATATGTTTCTTCATAATCAATTCCTGGATTTTGAGAAATTCCTTGGGCTACAAGCCTTGCCTTGTATTTAACTATCTCATTTTTCTCATTACGTTTTCTCACAAATACCCATTTAAATCCAGCGGGTTTTACACCTGTTGGTGTAAGAGTTATTTTCCCGAAAACTTCTCGTTTTTCAAGTGACTTCAACTCAGCCAGCATTGCCTCCTTCCACTTTGGCCAATCACTCTTGTGTAGACATTCTTCCAATGTTCTTGGTTCAACATCATTTTCATCAGACACAATGTAGATTGGATGGAATTTGCAAATATTTCATCCACGATAACATCTTTCCTATTCCACTGAGTCTTGGAAGAGACGTAATTCATTGAAATTTCATTGTTATCGATGTTTTGAACATCTTGTTCATTCCCCGTAGGGTTGTTTTGTTGTTCGTCCCCTTTTGGATTATCATCATTTTCTTTACTTTCATTCACATTTGGTATTTCTTGACCTTCTGACGGGGGAACATCATTAGTCTCATTTTCTATTCCATCCAATCTTTTCAATTTCCTTGGTTTACAATCTTTTGAACCAAGTGGTCTCCTACGCTTTCTGCGTGCTTGAGATTCATTCTCATTGGCCTTATTATCAGTTGGGATTTCAATACGTGCAGGGGCATTTTCTGCTGGTATATGTGATTTTGTCACCTTTTTTGTGTCTACAAATGTATCAGGCAATTGATTTGCAACACTTTGTAAATAAATAATTTTCTTGACTTCTTCTTCACACATATTTGTTCGTGGGTCTAATATCAACAGTTGTGTTGCATTCCAAATAAGTTCTATTTCTTTCTTGCGTGGGTCCACTTTCTCTCCCCCCAAGGCTGGGAATACTGCTTCATTAAAGTGACAGTCGGAAAATCTAGCCGTAAATAAGTCACCAGTCAGTGGTTCAAGATATTTAATTATAGAGGGGGATTCAAACCCAACATAAATTCCCAGCTTTCTTTGTGGACTCATTTTGTTCGTTGGGGTGGAGCAATGGGAACATATACAGCACAACCAAAGATTTTTAGATGTGAGATACTTGGTTCTCGACCGCAAACAAATTGTAGTGGTGAGAATTTATGATAAGCTATAAGTCTCAATCTAATTAGTGCTGCTGCACGTATTATAGCATGTCCCTAAGCAGATGATGGAAATTTTGACCTCATTAATAATGGTCTTGCAATCAATTGCAACTCTTAATTAGTGATTCAGCTAGACCATTTTGTGTATGAACAAGAGCTACAGGGTGTTCAACCTCAATTCCGATTGACATACAATACTCATTAAATGTTTGGGATGTAAATCCCCCAGCATTGTCGAGTCTTATTTTTTTATTGTATAATCTGGTAATTGTGCTCTTAATTTGATAATTTGGACAAGTAATTTTGCAAAGGCAACATTTCTACTTGAAAGCAGACTGACATGTGACCATCGTGTAGAAGCATCAATCAAAACCATGAAATATCGAAATGGTCCACATGCCGAATTAATTGGCCCACAAATATCTCCCTGAATTCTTTCCAAGAATTTTGAAGATTCAATAGCAATTTTGTTCATAGATAGTCTTATTATTATTAATTTGCCAAGTGAACATGCAGAGCATGTTAATTCATCCGATCGACGAATTTTGACATTTCTCATTGAATGTCCAACTGAATTTGCTATTATTCTTTGCATCATCCCAGTTGCTGGATGTCTCAAACGGTCATGCCATAAAATAATCAGATGTTTGTCATCTAAGTTTTGGTTAGATATCATATTGATTTCCACGGGTCGTATGTTTACACGATATAACCCCGAAGAATATGCTGGCAATTTCTCATAAATACTCCTTTTAACCTGTTGTCATTGTTTCTAAATAATAGCCATTTTGACGTACATCTTTAAAGCTTATGAGATTTCTTCGAGATTTACTCGAGTATAAAGCATTATTGATTATCAATTTTGTTCCATTTGAAAGCATTATACAAGCCTTTCCAGATCCTTCAATTAATTTTGTTGACCGGGAAATAGTGTTTAAATTTGCCTGAAACAACTTTAATTATGAAAAATATTTTCTATCCTTCAAGATAGTGTGTGTTGTTCCACTGTCCAAAAGGCACTGATATTCGGAACCAACTTTAGACATATCCATATCTGACTAGGAATTGGTGCTGATAACGTGTTAAAAGAAACTTTATTGATAGAGAAATTTTGAGTGAAGAGAAGGTAAAGATAGAATTAGTGAAAATGCTGTAGTATTTACTACTATATCAAGTCTCAATTTATAGTAAAATTTTTACAATAAAATATTAGACATTATTGTACTTTTGAGCATATAATTAAGAGCATATAATTGATCCAAATACCACATGTGAACTTTCACATTTGTATTTTTTTTTCTCAACACCATCTTATTAAAGTTTCCGATAGAAGAATAGAGGGTCAAGAGTCAAGCACCTCGTGTGGGAATTGTATTTATTAGATGATGAAAAAGTTGAGGAAATACAAATGAAATGTACCACTCTCCTTTTATTTTGTCTTCAACGAACTCATCAATCTTAAATGTGTAGTGACTACTGAGTGTAATTTATGGTCGACAAGCAGTTTTCGTCCCCTTCCTTTTTTGGTGCCTTTTGAAGCGATTAATGCCTTCTTTATACTACGTAATATTTATATTTTTGCACGTTTGATTCGTTGAATTCATTATTATTTTTCTTTATTTTAATGAGAAATTTATCAAGACAATGTAGTTCTTACGAGGTATTTTGAAGAGCTTCCACTAGACAGAATAGAGCGAATTATATATATTTTTGGGAAGAAAAAAAAATACTCCGTTGCAATCAACAGGAAGGAGAACTAAAACATACATAGCAACTGTACAAGAAAGCTAAAAATATCACCTGTCACATAACAGAATTTCCTAAACCCTAAGCATACCGACGACTTCATCTTCTTCCTTTTGTCTGCATCTCACATTGAGGATTGTAGAGTACAGAATAATTCACATTTATACAATTAACTACTATCTGCCAGCTTCTCTTGATAGAAATATGTTCTTATCAACAAAACTGCAGGTTTAACCATCAAAGCAGACACTCATTTCATCCAAAGCTCTAGCAAGCTCCAGCTTATCCATGTCTATCGGTTTATCCTCCTCGCCCTTAATTTTGTCATCTTTTTCTTTTCCTTCTCCTGCTGCAACGCATTCCTGGAATCTAAAGCAGGTTACGAGATGATCGTTTGTCAAACCAGCTGCTTGCATAAATGAGTAGACTGCAGTGGGCCCAACTCCTCGAAATCCTCTTCTCACCAGGTCCTTGCTTATCATCTCTGCTTTAGAAGTCTTGACTGGCACCTGGCGTGGATATCGGAACTTGTTTACTATAGGTTTCTGATTCATAAAGCTCCATATATACTTGTCAAATGATCCAAACTCCTCGATTATCTGCATAATCACAATAAGAAAAACATAACAGTAAATAACATAATCAGCACTTTCCTTCTCAGCTGTTTCCTTGGAATATGTTTTGAAGCAAATAAAACAGCATTAAGTTAAATACGCTTAGCTCACCCCATTACTAACTTCATTATTTTCACACAAGATGCAGCAGCATTGGAGTTAATTCTTTTAGCTCAGGATTACAAATGTGATGATTTACACAAACCAAAATAACATTCTACAGTACATAATAACAACATAGCAAATAAAATACCTCAGGGCTAGAACTAATACGACAGAACTTTAATACTTCGTATCACATTTTGAATAACATCAGCAAAATATTGTTAATGGAATGCACTACAGATAAAAAGCCAGAAGACAACACATTTGCACAGTGCTAAGCAGCAAGTTGCATCAGTTTTGCTTCTGCTACATGATAATTCTGATATCTAGTTATTCAACGCTAGACTCAACCACTGCACAAGAAACTAACGGACTCAATCAATTAGAAATGGGATAAGAAGTCATCTAGGTCTCAATCATGTAACAATTAGCTTGATTAAGAAAACTAGATACTGACTAGTTGCAAGAATAATTGCACCATATTCAAATGACATCCCTTTTGTGGTTCAATTCAACACCAGCAAAAATCGCAAGATAGCGATGATTTTCCTCAAATTTTACAGATGCCTAACTGAAGAGAAACAAGTTAACATTACATGCGAAAGGGAGGACAGGTTTCTAACTTTGTTGAATCAAAGACAACGAATTTCCAAAACAATAATTGAATAGAGATCTAAAAGAGGCTAGAGATAAAATCTTTCTCCAAGCTGGGAAACAAAGCTGCATTTCTCCCTTAAAATTCGCAGCATTGAGTTCTGAACAATTATGCAGAGAAACTGGTAAGAAAGCACACTCCTGAGAATAACCCCATGCGTATTTTGGCAATTTTGCTGCCAAGAACTCAAAACCTCCAAGGTTAACATAGCCTTGCTCGAAAGGAAAAATGTATTTGCCCGGAAAGGTGCATCTATAATCCACTCGTATACTACTACTCTCATCACTGATATAACATAATTGCAAGGGTCAAATTTAGCTTCTGGGCTCCAAAGGGTTCAAGAATCCAACCAATAATTATAGATATAATACATATCCTTATTATGGACCCTGAAGATTATGAAATCCTTCGCATCTTATTCTATTTCTTCATCTCCATGATATCAACCCTACATTGAGATCCATGCTAATAAGAATGATAAGTGGCTTATGGTCATGCAAAAGCAATTACCTCAAGGATAAAGCTGTAACTGAAAATTGGAAACATTCAGCTCCACACTTTAACCTACATGAAGGTGAAGAAGTAAGACTACCTTGCATCACTTGCATGCAAAATTGTGTTTTTTCCTTGGAAATTGTTTTCCATGGAAAAACATTTTCCCATAAAACAGTTCCATCAAAGCATACAGTCTTAGTCCCCCCCCCCCCCCCCCCTCCCTCCCTTTTCTATTTGGTAAATTACACTTTTAGGTGCAAATAATGTCATAATCATGGCATCCACATTGTAAGGTAACTTTACCAATAACACTTTTATATAAATGCTACGTGCCATGAAAAGAGAAATAATCATGCATCAACAACAAATTTAGTATTACCTTGCAAACTTGACGTGCATTTTCAACAATATTGCGCATTTTAAGCTCTGATAATAGGGTACTTCCAGGACTTCCCGGTCCACTAATCTTCTTCTCATTTAATTTAGAAACAGATACTGGATCAAAATGCAAGAACACTTCCCTGCAAAGTGGAAGGTATAACAAGCACTAAGACTGTGATTAATCAATGAATTGTCTGATATACATGGTATGACTATCATAGAAGGAAATTAAAAAAGAAAGAGAAACTAATCATAAAGTCCTACCTGAATATATTTCTCTTATTCAGTATTGTCGGCCATGCTAACTCAGCTAAAGCGGCCGAGAGACTGAGCAGTTCAAACAGTTTGCTACAGATAAACAAAAATAAGATGGTAAAATTCATTAGAATGCATTAAAAAAAACTTGGAATATATCAACTCCCTCATAAATCATAATATACCTGTCATCATGAACTGGAACTCCCCATTCTTCATCATGAAAAGTAGCGTAAGATGGATCTTCTTCAGAAAAGGAAACAGTGTTAGAATATCAACAAAGATATAACATCAAACAGAACAGGCCAATATATAGCTTTTTTATGAAATAAAATAAGCAGTTTGATAAAGAAATCTCTTTTATTTATGTACATGAAAGAGAAAGAAAGAAATTTATAAGCAAGTTCTAATGGCCTGTTTGGTAGGAAGTGATAGATGACCGTAAACCCATAATGATGATAATGATATACTCCCTGTGTCACAATTTAAAAGTCTCATTTCTCCCCAAAACCTTGTCCCTAACTTAAAAGTTACATTTCACCTTTACGGCTGTATCTATTTCTCATTCAATCAATCAATCAATCAATCAAAGCCTTAATCCCATAAGTGTGGGGTCGGTTACATGAACCAAAAGTAATTATTCCGTGTAGTCCTCGACGAAAATCTTCCTTCTCCATCCCTTATGATCCAATGCTTCATCCTCATGCAAATCCATAAACTTCATATCCTTCCTAACTCCTTCCAACCAAGTCATTTTCGGTCTTCCTCTCCCTCGTTTAACCCCTCCTCCTCCATCCCTTACGATCCAATGCTTCATCCTCATGCAAATCATATACTTCATATCCTTCTTAACTCCTTCCAACCAAGTCATTTTCAGTCTTCCTTTCCCTCGTTTTACCCCTTCATGGTCCCACTCTTCCACTCTTCGTACCGGTGCACCCTCGGGTCTCCGTCCTACATGCCCAAATTAACGCAGGCGATTTTCCCTTAGTTTGTCTGCAATGCCTACCACCCCTACTTTCTTGCGAATAACCTTATTTCTGATTCTATCTCTTAGAGTGTTCCCGCACATCCACCTTAACATGCGCACTTTAGTAACCTTCATTTTTTTAATGTGCTCTTTCTTAGAAGCCTAACATTCAGTCTCATAAAGGGTTTTATGGCAGCAGAATTTTCCCTTCAACTGTAAGGGAATGCTTCATGGCCGCTCTCCATTTAAGCCACCCCAACTTAATCCTCTGGGCCATGTCTTGATCTATGTCACCATTTTTCTGGATGATCGACTCAAGATTTCTAAAACATTCACTCATGGTCAAGTCCTTTCCACCCAAACTCACCACATCATCGCTTGTCCCCCCTCTGAGTACCAAAGTGGAATACCAAATATTCAGTCTTACTCCGACTTAGCTTAAACCCTCTACATTCCAACCTTTGTCTCCATTGCTTCAATTTGGCATTATCCCCATCTTTAGTTTCATCCAACAAAAACGATATCATCTGCAAACAGCATACACCATGGAACCTCATCTTGAATTGGTCTGGTTATTTCGTTTAGAACCGTTGCAAAAAGAAAAGGGCTTAATGTAGACCTTTGATGTAATCCAACTATAATGGAAAAATCTTTTTTCAACCTTCCCCATGTCCTCACATTTGTTGACACATCCCGATACATATCCTTAACCAGGTCCACGTACCTTCGTGGGATACCTTTCTTCAACATTGCCCACCAAAGTACCGCTCTTGACACCTTGTCATATGCCTTCTCTAAATCAATAAACACCAAACAAATATCTTTCTTCTTTACCCTATAAAACTCCATCGTTTATCTTATCAAATGGATTGCTTTCATAGTAGATCTCCCACAAATAAAACCAAATTAGTTATTCGAAATGTTTGTGCATGTCCTCAACCTATGTTCAATCACTCTTTCCCACAACTTCATAGTGTGGCTCTTAAGTTTGATCCCTCGACATTTAAACAATCTTGAGCGTCTCCTTTGTTTTTATAGTTCGGGACCAAGGTGTTGTTCTTCTAATCTTGCAAGATCCTTGTAGCCCTCCATATCCTGTTAAAGAGGTCTATTAACAAATCAATACCAATCTTACCCAAACAACTCCACACCACTATCGGTATACCATCAAGCCAACCGCCTTCTTAGGCTTCATCTTCTTCAATCCCCCGCATATATTCCACGTTGATTTCTTCATCACTCACAGAGGTACCCCTTCCACAACTCCACGACTTCCATTAAACAATTCATCGAAGTACCCCTTCCACATGTCCTTGATGACCTCTTCTTGTACTAGAATAATTTGGTTCTTATCTTAGACACACTTTACCATGCCAATATCCTTCCTTGCCTCTTGTCTTCTCTCGCCATCTTATAAATGATCTTTTCTTCCTCCTTGGAGTTGAGCTTTTCGTAAACCTCCTAATAAGCCTTTTCTTTCGCTTGGCGAACAGCTGCTTTTGCCTTACTCTTAGCCTCCTTATACGCTGCAAAGGTTTCGTCGCTCCTACATTTTCCCAAGGTGTGATAGCATTTCGTTTTTTGCTTAATTACTCCTTTCACCTCTTCATTCCACCACGAAGTATCTATCTGCATCGAAGTTCTCCCCTTTGATTCCATGAAGTATCTATTTCTTCATTCACTTCAAATAAAACGAACCCCACTATCTTTTTTTTTTTTTTTTTTTTTTTTAAACAACGTTAAAAACTTGTGCAAAAGGTAAATAAGACTTCAAATTGGAAACGGAGGGAATATGTAATTTTGGAAGGAAAGTCTTGTGTCAATGTAGAACTCAATACCACCTCTATAGTGATAATGAATGGTTATCTAAGAAAAAAAAAAAAAAAACAAACAAACAAATGATGGTGGAAATACACTACCATGGACATTGGCATGTAAACTTTCTCTACAAACCTACATATAAATTCAATATTATTACCACCATATATCAGCCTCCACCAAACATACCATAAAGAAATGTCCAATCAAAACAGAATATAAGATACAAAAGTCACTCTTTTTTTTGCCTTCACAAAATAAAAGCATATTATTCATTGCAATCTAACACTCAGCACCACTACAACAGAGCTAAAAATTCATTGCACACACTTCCATTACTTGTCTCAAATTCAAGTGTTTGTTCTAAACTAGTACTCCTTCACTCTGTTCCTCTTATTCTACAAAGTACGAACGTATTGAGGCAAGGAACTGAGGTATGGAGCAGTAATGAAATTAGGTTAATGGGCCTTAACTTCGCGGCTCTAGTTGATCCACATGTATTGTCAATTATTATTCTTTTTTAATTCCCTCAAAAAGCCAGATAAGCCGGCCAGATTTTAAATTGCCTAACTTGCAAGCTTAATCAAGCCCAGTTGGATCGAGTCCAGCTGGGTAGCTATGATAGCGCCCAGACATGAACCGGTTAAGAAACCTGGGTCGAGACAATTCACATGCCTTACTCAAGTTGCCTTAGGTGGCATAGTATGAAAATGCGGTTTCAGTCGCGATCGCGGGAACGGTTGCGGTATCACGGTAACGGTATTGATGCGTTGATCGCGGACCGGGTCGCAGTTGTAGCGGTAGAATTTCATTTAAAATTTATGAATCCAAATATTATAATTTAGGTTTTTAAATAATTTTTTATATAGGTTATAAATTAAATTATTATACAAAGTACTTAGTACTTACCTTTAAACCAAAACCATACTTGTTCTTTTATTTACCCATTGACAAGTATGACAACAATTTAAAAAAGAAATAAAGTAACAAACAAAAAGGCCCACTATTGTCCCACTAACTTATTGATATATAATAAAAGTGACCAAACCCATTACTTGAACTTACATGTGATTACCTCTTTACAGTTGTCCCAATATTTACTTTCTCTCTCTTCCTTTGGTTCTGAGCTAAGAAACTCAATGGTTTCCACGGAGTTTCTCCATTTCTTTCCTTTTTTTTTTTTTGTCTAAAAACTTAGTAATTCTTCTCGAAATTATCAACTATTGAGTCAATAACGTTCGATGTGGACGAGATTCATTTCGTATCGGTTGTATTGGCCAAAATCTCGACCTTTTGAAAAACGTCGTGCAAAAACGGTAAATATCGAATCGGTAAGTTCGAAATCTGTTACAAATCGGCCGGTTCACGACGTAACAACCGCATTTTTATACCATGTTAGGTGGGCCAAGTGTTTGCTAAAACGTTTTATTTTTGAGAAATTGAAACACCTTTAATAAGCCATATCAACCGGCTGGAATTTGGTGACTTGGCCCATGAGTCCATGATGCACTTGCTAGCTTGACTAGTCTAAATTCACCTTCGGCTTGACGAGCCTTGCCATCTTTATAATGAAAAGATGCTCTAGTATCAAATGCATAGCAATCGTCTCAATTTTAGCCTCCACCAACACCACCCACCCCCCAAAGTTGAAAGAAGACTTAGAACACCAAGGCTCCTTGAAAGGGAAAACCTAACAATGATCCCACAGATTAATTTTCCAACATGTTCTCAATTGCTTTGGCAATCTCTAAAAGGGATGACATATAAATCCTTATCTTAATCCTTAGTATTGGGATTGGAGGTTACCTTGGACTTCATATGTCTCCAACCTTGATGAGAGCATTAGATGTTTAGATCTCTTAGCCTTACCAAAAGTATTCTAGTACGAGGTTGTATCTAAGCCTTATATCAAAGCTTACACTACCCCGGTTTCCGAAAGTTCTTTACACTTTTACTTTAATGTATTTTTGGCAAAACCCATATATTACCTTACCTCCACATTATTTACACTTAGCCTTCACAATGTTTACACTTATCCACTTACTCTCTCTTACTTTTCCCACCTTTTTCTTACACCCACTCACTTTACTCATCACATTAACATACTCGATCTCTAATTGCCATAATTTGTGTGCAACGAAGATAGTAAAGAGAACCATATATTGTCTACTATGTTGAGTTAGAGCCAATAATCAAACAAAAAAATAAAACTTTTGCTCTAAGAACAATAAACCATTGTGTACAAATTGAAGAAGGAGAATTTAAAAGGAACAGCCAAAGACACCCTAATCCTATTCTTCAACTCAAACCTTAATTAAAAGAAATCAAATATTGCTTTCTATGCTACATTTCATCTTAGTTTCACATGTTTCATCTTCTAGGGCCTTATTATCAAATTTTTGCGGAACTTAACGATGGTTTTAAATGAATTCGGTACCCTCATCACTTCAATGATAGACCTTTTAACCTCTCCAAACACCTCCTCTAGAAAGTGAGTCATTCACTAGATTCTATCCTTCTTGTTCACCATAAAAAAGAGGTTTATCCTCAAGTTAAATGCTTTGATAAAAGCCACAAGATCTTCCTCAATCGTCATTTTTCCTACCAGTATCATAGCATCAATCATCTACAACTCACCCCAAAAATTCACACCTCCAAACTTCAGCAGCTTAAAATTTTCACCCCTAAATTTCTAGCAACACAAAAAATTTGGCTGTCATGTCACCCAAGACCACCAAATGACATTTCTTAAACTCAATTACACTTACTGACACAAAACTGCAAATTTAATGAAAAATAACACAAGTAGAAATAAAAGTCTTTAACCACTACTACCAACATATATCCACCAATGTGTATCACCAGTTAACCAAATCACACATGGAGAGTGCAAGAGTCTAATTCAAACTTTGTTGAATGACAAAATATTAACATACATTTCCTGCTTTCTCTTCCTACCTCTTAAAAACACGGAATTTCGAGGAAAAAAAGGAAGCTAATAACATACATTCTCTTCCAATAACTTCGTAACCAGACAAAAGGAGTTGTTCCCATATCTACAATAAAAACTACACGATTGAACATCAATCTTCTTCCGTAATTATCCACCTTTTAAGTCCAACAAGCTAAGCATAACAAGATATTTGCACTATGATTGTAGCATTGATGTTAAAATATGAAAAATAAAAAATAAAAAAGGCTAAATCATACCAGTATTAGAAGTAACCCAAGCACATCGCTTCTTTCCCAACCCATCAACCTCAGGCGCTGCCCCATTATCCACAACCACCTTCTCCACCTTACTAGCACCCAAACCCATGTTACTAGCACCCCCTAGCTTCCTCCTCATCAATGGTGCGCTACTCCGGCTAATCCTCCCAGTCGATGCTCGACTATGAGAAGAATCCGACGAAGCATCCGATGAACACGAAGCATTAAGTGAAGAATTACCCCGCAAAAGCTGATTCCCGTGCCTTAGGATCGACGGAGCGCTGAGATTTCTCATTGGCGGCGATAATGTGGGTGGATTTTGAGCTAATCTCTTCTCTTTACTCTTGGTTTCCGTCTCCGGCGAGCTATCGGACTTCCGCTGAGGTTTCGTGGTCGGTTTCCGAGCTTCAACGACGGTCCTCGCTTTGTTTCCGGCAGGTACTAGCACTGGCCTTTGCTCAAAGTCAGCTAAATTAGTCGATCTAACCCTGGGACCCCCCGACATTGACGATATTCTGGGCAAAAAAACCCTAAAATTGGGGTAAAATGCAGTGAAATTAGTTTAGATTGAAAATAAATAGCAATTGGCAACGCACATTGTGGGAAAATGGAGATCAGATGTGAAATTAGGGGTTATGAATTAGGGGTTTTGGGGGTAGGAGAGAAACCCTAGAAGAGGAGAGAGAAGAAGAAGAAGAAGAAGAAGAAGAAGGTGCATTGATAATAATGGGGTTGACTAAGAAGATGGGTAGTAGTTGGATGCCATTTTTAGGAAGAAGAAGAGGAGAGAGTGGAGTGAGGAGAAGTTGCAAGAGAAGAGTCAAGTTAAAGCTAAAATGAGATTTCACCCTAAAGTTGTTTGAAATTGGGCACAAATAGATGGAAGGTTTTTGCAAGCAAAGCATGGATTCTTTATTTTTTATTCTTATTCTTATGGGGAGACTGGATAGAGAATGAGAGTTTTTGAGTCTACCCATTTAAAGTGTGCCACTTAATGACACACTTATGACTACTACCAAAGTTATTGTCACTTTAATTGTATAATTTGTGGTTTCTTATTCCATTTTGCCAACTCTACCAAAGATTGTACATAATTGGTCTAAAACACCACACAATACGAATCAACATGAAAAAAGCATGACATGATATGGACATGAGATTGACACGACATTGTTACATTGGTTAATGTCTAGCCCACTCTTTTTAAAATTTTATAACGACACAACACAATTGGTGATCCAAGACGTGAGTCATGCCTCTCTAGCTCTAAAATAACCATTCGATCAGCTCAGCATAAGGCATGACCCATTACCATTTTTACTCTATCCTGTAATTATTCATTGTCCTAAAGTTGCTAGGAAAATTGAAAAATTAACAAGTAATTTAATTTAGTTTTTAAAATGACATTGTGTGACTTAGTTTTAACAAAAAGGATAGTTAGGCTGGTCACTAATCAATACAATTATGAAAGAAACAAGATAGCATTCAGTATGGCCTTTAAAAGTAGAATATTATGTACACGGATCAATTAGTATAAAAAAAAAAAAAAATAAATAAAGAATAAATAAAAAATAAAAAATAAAAATAAAAACTATTTTTGTTGAGCAAACTTTGTAATCTCATTGTGTCGATTGTCATATAAAATACATAATACAATAAGTGATCATCTCTAAATTTATTACTTAATTTTAACGATCATAATTCACACACATGAATCATACATTAAAATTGTGTAATAATCCTATAACAATCCAAGAGATGCCTTCTAGTATAATAGCATCACATTAATGTGTCGACCCCTCGTTTAATTTTGCCTGCCTTATTATATGGCATGTTATGTAGCAAGACTAGCAAGTAGCACCTAAAGTCCTAAAAGTCAACAAAGGGAAATAATAAAAGGAAAAGAAAAGAAAAAAAGAAGAAAGGAGGAACGGATAAGTCCAAGTCCCAGGGAAGTTATAACGGTAGGCCCATTAAAGGCCCATACACATATACACATATGGGCGAAAATAATAAAAAGAAAAAACATTGGAGTTTACCGTTAGATTGGAGCGCATCCAACGATCCGAACTTTACAGAAAATTCGACCGTTGTGGATCCCCACCCCCATTTAAATACCGCCATTGCAAACCTTGTTCTGTCATCTCCATCTTCGTCGCTCATTAATCCACTCTTAGGAGAGAAGGAGAGAGAGAGAGAGAGAGAATATTTTACTCAGAGAAATCGAAACAGAGAATGGCTGCTCGACCTGTTCTTCAAGATCAACCCAGAGGTATTCTTCTTTCCTATTCGCCATTTCATTCACCGATTTTGCATACTATTTGATCTATCTCATGTTCATCTTTATAACTTTAATCAGAATTCAATTTTGTTATTTATCTCCATTTTTTTCTCTGTTCATTCTGATTTTCTCTGTTTTTCGGAAATTCATTTCTGGTTTTTAATTTCTCTGTTTTTTGTATTTCTGATTGACTTCTCTGTGTTTTTTGGATGTGGATTTTTGATTTCCATCCATCTCTATTTCCTTTCTGTTGTTATAATGTCGAAAGATTTGATCTTTGATTTTTCTACTTATTCTTTTGTTTTCCTCTTGAATTTGGTTTCTTTGACTCATATGTTTGACGAGAATTTGATTAAAAATTATAATTAAAACCCCCAATTCATTGTTGTTAATCTTGGTTTTAAGTTTTGATCTGGGTATTCTGATTCTTGTCCGTTTGAAAAAAAAACCTAAAATCTTGGGATGTGTGAATGAATAGGTGGAGTTCAACAGAAAAATGGTCAAGGAGAGAGAAAAAATAGGACAGCATTAGGAGACATTGGAAACGTAGTGACTGCAAGAGGAGCAGTTGGTGGTAATGGTATTGTTAAACCCCAGGCAATCAACCGTCCTCTCACTCGGAGTTTCTGTGCGCAGTTAGTAGCAAATGCACAAGCCGCTGCTCAGAAAAACAAGGTACTATTACCAAAGCCTCGGATCAAATTCCATCTACATCATCCCTCTTTTCAAATATAATAAGACAACTGAAAATTTTGGTTTTAATTTGATTGATGCAAATTACTTATCTATCAAAATCTGGACTGTTTGCAGAAACAAGGAGTTCAAGTTGTGGATGTAAATGTTGGTGGCGCAAGGAAAATTGGGGTAACAGGAGCAGGAGTAGCAGCAGCAGCCCAGAAAAAGGTGCAAGAAAAGAAGAAAACTGAAGTTGACTCAAAAACCCCTTCTGGACATGGGAAGGTTGAGCATAAACCAGCACCTAAGAAGAAGAAATCCCCAACCCTTACTTCTTTCCTCACCGCCCGTAGCAAGGTCTAATTTCAATCATTTAATTGCATCCGATTAAGATTAGTATAGTAGACAAATATTGTTCTAAATTAAATGTGCAAAATTATTCAGGAAGCTTGTGGACTGACCAAGAAACCTCAAGAACTAGTGGTCAACATTGATGAGGGAAGCATAGAAGATGAATTGGCAGTTGTTGAGTATGTTGAGGACATTTACAACTTCTACAAGATTGCTGAGGCCGAGAGTCGAGTGCGCGATTACATGGATTCTCAGCCTGATATCAATGAGAAGATGAGGTCAATTCTTGTAGATTGGTTAATTGAAGTGCATTACAAGTTTGAGTTGAGGCAGGAGACCCTTTACCTCACCATAAACATCATCGATCGCTTCCTTTCGATGAAGGTTGTCCCTAGGAAAGAGCTTCAGTTGGTAGGCATTGCCTCAATGCTCATTGCCTGCAAGTATGAAGAAATTTGGGCACCTGAGGTACTGTAATTTCAGGACCCTAAAACTGAAACTGTTTATGGGTTGTTTTTGAGCTAGTAATGTTATTAATCTGAGTGAAAATTGTTGCAGGTGAATGATTTTGTACAGATATCAGACAAGGCATATGTGAGAGAGCAAGTTCTGGCAATGGAGAAAACAATACTTGGGAATATGGAGTGGTATTTGACAGTCCCTACACCATACATGTTCCTCACTAGATATGTCAAAGCTTCTGTTCCAGCTAATTCTGAGGTATATATATACATACAATTGGATCTCAATTGTGAAGATTTTAGCCTACAATAATCAACTTTTACTGATTGGTTTTCTTTGCTTGTTTTTGGTTAATGGCAGTTGGAGAATATGTCATACTTCTTTTCAGAGCTTGGCATGATGAATTATGCTACCACAATCAAGTATCCTCCTTCACTTCTGGCTGCTTCGAGTGTGTACGCTGCTCGTTGTACTATGAACAACAGTCCCTCTTGGGCAGAAACTCTCAAGCATTACACAGGCTACTCTGAAAACCAGCTTACGTAAGAACTGTTCCCAAATAAACACATATAAAGTGCTATATACATCGACCATGAAAGTTATACTAAACATACATTTTGTGATGATATGATGTGCAGGGAATGTGCTAGGCTGTTGGTTAGCTTCCATATGGCAGCACCGGAAAACAGGCTGAGAGCAGTTTACAAGAAGTTTTCAAAACCAGATAATGGCGCTGTCGCCCTTCGATCTCCAGCCAAAAGCCTTTTGGCCTCTACTTCATGAGATTTTTGTACTAGAGTTCATTGCAAAATAATGCTTAGTGTTTTACTGTCATTAAATTTCTACACACCATCACAGAATGATGGTCTTGCAATTCTTTTATTGACAACTGAGATATGTAATCAAAGCTTTCTTACTTTGAGTATATATAAAAACAGATTTTTATTCTTGATTTCCCGGTGTCAAATTTTATCTTTCCATCTTGCTCAGAACTTCTTTAAACCGAAAATTTCTGAAGTGTTAAAAACAAAGCTGATGCAATCTGCAAATGAGGCCAAATTTATCGAGAATGCTTCCAAAACAATTCGTCCACATAATATAAGGGAAAATAATATTTACAAAAGTGTACAACAATAAGAATTTACAAAGGGAAAATAATATTTACAAAAGTACAACACAAGGGAAAATAATATTTACAATAAGAAATTAATAATGTGAGGCATAAAATGAAATCAGCTTCCTCACTTATCCAATTATCTCACAAACCAACTGCCAAAACCAAAACACACATTTCACAAAAACAGACTTTAGCTATGGCTACTTCTCTACTACCCAAGTGTCTAGCTCCAATTTTCTTCAACTCTCCTTCCTTGCCTAGTAATTCCAACCACCTCACCAAACTCTCCTTTCTGAATCCACTAGAACACTCACTTAGCGCGAAACGACCAATTCTTCTGCCACAAGCAAAGAAGAAAAACCCGTGGTTAGATCTATTCGACGATGGAGAGGATGATCCAGATATAGAATATGGGTCATTGTATACTGATGGGAAACAAGAGGAAGACCCAAGACCACCGGATAATCCCGGCAACCCATATGGGTTCCTTAAGTTCCCACAAGGATATTCTGTGGAGGTAGCATCATTGGCATCAAAGGTGAGAGGAGATGTCAGAAGATGTTGCTGTGTGATTTCTGGTGGTGTATATGAGAACCTGCTTTTCTTCCCTGTAATTCAGTTGATCAAAGATAGGTATCCTGGAGTTCAGATCGATATAATTACATCAGCCAGAGGAAAACAGACTTATGAAATGAATAAAAATGTGAGGTGGGCAACTGTTTACGATCCTGATGATCATTTTCCTGATCCAGCAGAGTACACTGACATGATTGGACTTCTTAAGGTTGGTCAGTATGTTCTATCTTTTTTGGGGCACTTCAAGTTCAAACTAAAAAGAAGCATCATACCTTCCAAATGTCATAAGTAATATGCCAATATTTCACGTTAGTAGAGTTTGAATGTTAGTAATATGTAGCTCTGAAAGAAGAGGTAGTCTAAGCTCCAACAAAATTTAGGCCTACATGACTCACAGTCAACTTTATAACACCCATTTTAATGAGATACGTTTCTTGTGCCAACACAACTAAATGAGTAAATATAGATGATCAAGCAACAACATACTCACTGAAGATCCTAAACTATCGATCAAGGGAAGTGGTAAATCGGAACAGCTACATACTCATCGCATAAAAGTGTAGACAATTTACAAATTGATTTTAATTTTTCTTGCAGAATAGATATTATGACATGGTACTGTCTACAAAACTAGCAGGGCTAGGGCATGCAGCATTTTTGTTCATGACAACAGCAAGAGACAGAGTAAGCTACATTTATCCCAATGTAAATGCAGCAGGAGCTGGACTCTTACTATCTGAAACATTTACACCAGACAGTATGAATCTTTCAGAGGGAGGATATAACATGTGAGAATTAACACAACTTACCCGCAACTTTAACATTTTAATATCATAAGCAAAACACAATTCCTTATTTGTGTTGGTTTTTTTTTTTATGGCTACTAGGTACCATCAGATGGTTGAATGGTTAGGCCGACCAGCTAAGAACGTACCTCGGCTGCCAGTTACCCCCTTGAAGGTATCAATTTCAAGGAGGCTGAAGGAGGTTGTGGATGCTAAATATAAGGAAGCAGGAGCAGAAAAGGGGAAATATGTTGTGATTCATGGCATACAGTGCGACTCACAGGCATCAATGCAGTCCAGAGGAGATACTGATAGCTTGCTCCCTATAGAGATCTGGGCAGAAATATCCCAGGCGATCAGGTAATGTTGGTTGTAACATGTAACATTTTTTATTTTTATTTTTTGGGCAGCATTTTGCTAGCTCAGAAAATTTTTAAGCCAAAAATTGTCTGCTGCATCAAACTGTTTTGTTAAAACAGGGGAGTTACTCCAGTGTTTGTGATTCCACATGAAAAACTAAGAGAAGATGTGGAGGAAATTGTCGGGGACGAAACAAGCATTGTGTTTATAACGACGCCTGGCAAAGTAAGTACAATGTTATTTTTACTTGATCCAAAGCATGAAGAACTTCCGGAACTTTAACTTGAACTTATAGCACTTGACTCTAACTTTGTAAATATGCATCAGTTAGCAGCATTGATCAATGATTCTGTTGGCGTTATAGCAACCAACACAGCAGCTATTCAGCTTGCGCATGCCCGAGAAAAACCCAGGTTAGACCAAATTTGTATTAAAATTGGCACATAAGAGTTTTGTAATTGAATCTACTATAGCTGCATTAACACTCACAAAGTTGCAAAGAAATGATAATATCTTCACTCAAATTCTGCAGCATCGCTTTGTTTTGCTCTGAAGAAAAGGGAAAACGTTTTGTTCCCAATGCAGAAGGAAAGAAGTGTACAATCATAGCATCAAAAACAGGAAAATTGGCAGATATTGATGTTGAAGCTGTAAAAGATGCACTTAAAGTTTTTAAGATTGCAACTGCAGTTCCAGCTTTGGTGTAAAATGGCATATCAAGGATGTTCTCCCCACCTTTTTTTTTTCTTTCTCTTTCAACTTATTCTACCAAACCCCTCATGGAAATTGATTTAAGAAAACGAAATATGAGTGTGAGGGAGACACAGTACTTGGAAGATGTTACTCTTGTATGCTTATGTAATGACATCAACTGTACATTCTGAAACTTGAATGAGAATAGACAATCATTCATTTTCTTTATTTTCAGAACCAAAGATTCACATACTGAAGTTACAAAGATCGAGTTTTGCAAGGGACTCACCACTAATTAATTTGAAGCAAACAAAATGATACAAAACAGGTACCAAAACTAAGCACAAGAAAAATTGATGTGAACTTGGGAGCTTCATTTCACTAAATTTTTTTGCATCAGTGGCTTATAGGATATTCTAAGGATGAGTTGGAAACTCATCTGAGTGGTTTGGCACGAGTGGTTGGATCTTCGTCTGACTCTACATGTATCATGAACACATAGCCGAGGCACCACAAAAGGATATATTGGAAGGGAACCCACGAAAGACAGGCCAGTAAACTCATAATGCTTCCAACATACTGTGGATCTTTGATGTAACCAAATGGAAATTCAGTAACCCAAGGAACGGACTTTCCAAAGCGAACACCATAATAAGTGCCAGATTCGCCCAATAACTGATAAACCCTGCAATTAATTGAACACTCCATTAGTTAACATAAAGTATAAAGGACAGGGGGAGAACAACAGGAAGAAAAGAAGGATGAAGAAGATGAGAAACTCCTTAGTCCTTAGGAAAAGCAAATACCAACTCTGAAACTAAATAAATGGTCTTAGTTAAATGCTTTTTGAATAAAAAATTTCTTAATTAGGAAATAACTGAAGAATCACAGGGGCCAAATTTTGGAGCAAGAACAAAAATAAGAACCCTATTTCCTGAATTTCATCCACTTTTTGTACAGTCTGACAATCAGTAAAATTTTAAGTTTATTTTGACACAATGTATTAACTGCAAGCCTCAGTAACCCTATCAACAGGTATCATCATCTCCAACCAAAGGTCAAATTCACAACACCCTCCCATTCAAACACAATTTCATGTTCTTGGAAGAAGCCTGGAAATGGAAAAGCAGTGGACAGTACGCCTTAGCAAGAACAAGAAAGCAAATTCATTACTGTCAACCCTCTCAAAAAGTTTCCCGGAGAAATTAGCATATACGAAGTATGTTTCTCTAAGGTTTCCATGTCTTGCGAGGATACATGGAAGAACTTTGGGTAATGTAAGCTTTATAGGTGAATGGCAGAGAAGCAAGATAGAAATAGATACAACCATAATAACAGTCTGAATTGTATTAGGCTTATAGCTGATCAAAGGAGTAGTATTACCATATCCTATATATCTTCAACTCATACTACTAAATAACCCTTCACTCTCTAGGATTTCTCCAACTTACTTCAGTGTTTCTCAACCTTGTCATCAACTGGAATCGGTAATGTATTCATCACTTATGCCATCAAATTTTTAGAAGAACCGATAAGCAAGCATCGGATAACTGATCTTTGGTAAGTAATTAGTTATCCGGAATACATAATCAATATCGGAAAATATATCACCCCTAACAACTTACTAACTCGGTATTCAGACTATTAATTGCAAAATCCATCTTCTTCAAAAAATCATGTAAAGGGGCCCAACAAATTAAACCAAGTCTACATTACTAATTCATTCATTCATTCATTCATTCATTCTCCCCACTTAATTAATCTCAGAAACTCCAATAACACAATCTTCTCTTTCCATCTTGCATAATTAAACCAAGTCTATTTTCCTCGTGATTAACTACAATCAAACAAACAAAAAATATTGAGAAATTAGAAATAAAAGAAGAGAGAAAAGGATGGACCTGAAGTTGAGGAACTGGCCAGCAAGGAAGAGAGGCCAAAAATAGAAAGGAGGAGGCCATGAAAGAGAAGAGAAACTGAATGAGTTTGAGAAAATGAGAGACAAAAGCCATAATCTTGGAAGGATCATTTTGTTTGCCGCAAAGATGAACCCATTTCTGAGGTTGTTTCCATAACCAATAGTAGAATGGAAATGGCAACAACACTCCTATTCCTGCCCATATTCCCATCTTCAGGGATCTTCTTCTTCTTCCTTGAGATTTTTTTGTTTCCAGATTTCTATTTCTGGGCAATTTCAGAACAGAAAAGGTATTTAAAACTCGGATAGGTTTCAGTGTTAGAGATTTTGGACAATCAGCCCAATGTTTGTACCTCTGGGCCCAATTATAACTCACTCTGCCCTTTACCTTGTAAATTGTGATAAAACAACTATATGGCTCTTACCAACACTTCTTTCAATCTTAGCATTGGCTTTAGCCTTTAATTAAGAGATCAATTAATTTAAGTACCTGTATTTAACTA